ATAGCCAGCCTTCGGTGAACTGTCTATTTTAAAGTGTGTAAAAAAAAAAGGGAGGGGGGTCAGTAGACAAGCCAAAAAAATCTCCGAATTAAAAGACCGGTTAAAGTTCAAGGTAAAAACATAATCCCTCTTTGATTGAATAAAAATACTGGGAAACCTTCTACATGAACAATATTTTTTTAAAGTAAATTAACAGTAAGAGAACATGCTAAGAAAAAAAGGAAAAAAATACGAAGGATGGGGATGCCCCGAAAATTTTGCTTAAAAAAAAATTGTTTCAAAAACAAATTTAAAATGATCAAATGATCAAAAATAAAATCAAAGCAATTGTATGATAAAAATTACTATTAATTTCAAATTTCTAAAATTATTCCGATGAAATGATTGAATGAAATCCCACTCGAACCTGTAATGCAATATGTTAAGAAATTAAATACAGCTATTGTAGACTTTTCCCAAAAGCGTTATACCTAATGTTGGTGGAATTAACAATATTACATCGACAGTGATATTATGAATGAGCTCGAGAATATTTATAAACCAAGGGAAAAAAACTATATAGATTACAGTAAGCGAAAAGACGTACGAATTTCTGGCTAATGTCAGATATACATGTATGGGTACATGTATTGAGAATACATTACTATAGATAGAGCAAAACGTATAAGTGACAAGTGGTTATGGGTGTAATTTCCAAAAGATATGAAAATGTGCGTGAAATATATTTCACTGACTATATATTCTATTCATGATATGAAATAAATAAGTCACGTCCTGCGTTGAAATCTTCAAATCTGATGCATATATCAAAATACCCCGCTTATCTCTATCGACATTAATTTCTTTAAGTTTCGTTGAAATCGAGATAAGACTTTACTAGTAGATCATAATCTTACATGTAACATGACTCCACGGAAAGAAATTAATAAACAAACACAAATATTTCTACTTTTAAAGAAAATATTGGCCATTACAGTCCACGCAAGTAGCAACGGGGGGCTACATTGAAAGTCCCCCCCCCTCCACACACACACATACACACTTTTTGTTGCGGCACAGTCAAATTCGTGCAGTACAAAAGAATAAGGCAGTGTGTTATGTTCGATTAAAAAAATTTGATACTGAAAGAAGATTGAACCTATCCCCCCCTCCCCAACGGCGAAATTGGATTCGAGTTTCGACAACCCCTCCCCCTTTTTTGGTTGAGTAGTTTTTTAAAGGTAAATTTATTTTTTTTTCTGGCAGACCCGCACCCCCTTTTTTTTCAAATGAGTTGTGTGGGGACAGGCGAAGATACGAGTCGAATATGTGTTTTTTTTTTATATGTTTGGTATGTTTTGAAGTAATAACAAGGAAAACAATGGTTTGCATTAATATTTTAAGCGAAAGAGAGTCAAATTAGAGCGGCAAATTATTACTTAATTAAAAGCATCGCCTCATACAAAAAGCATGAACGTGTGCTGGACGTAATATTTCATTAGTGAATAAGACAATCGCATCGAAATGTGAAAAACCTATAAGGTGTCAAGTTAATTAGCCATTGTTACGGAGGAAAATGAATAGATGACCATTCATGGACGCGTGAAAGATTTTGTTTTGCTTGTCAAGGAATATTTGGTGGTTGAGAGTGCCCACAACTGAAAAAAATATAGCTGCCCCCCCCCCCTGTTCACACACACACACACACACACACACACCTAATATGGCTTCCTACGGGTCTGTCGTTCTTACGTAAAAATAAACTAGTATTTATTCAGTTTCAGTTTCAAATAGATTTCGTCAAAATTTTAATGGAACTGTAATTTCGCACAGAAAAATCTAGCTGCAGGTCTGTTGCGTTATGGTTTTACATATTTGTGTTTGATCATGGTCATAACGTTACAGATCTGCAGCTAAGAAAAGTCAAGCACGGCGTTTAGTGTACATATATGAGAAAGAGACAAGAACCGCACAATTCACCATTCCTTTTGATTATATCATACAATATACATAAATCATTTTTTTTTTTTCAGATCGTAGTAGCAGTAGTAGTAGTAGTAGATCGTGTATTCAAGTTAAACAGGGTACAGGTGCCACAAAATTAAAAAAAAAAAGTTAAGGTGCAGAAATATTTGTAATCGATTTTAATTGTGGTATACTTTTAAAAAAGTAAGAAGTTAAAAGGCGGTTTCAATTTTAGGTATAAATTCAAAGAAAGTTTCAACTTAAGGTACGGTATATAAACCATTCATAAGAGAATCATTTTCTAGTATTTGCCTATTTACTATGTTTCTACTCCATAACTAAGACTGGCGAAAAAATGAATTGTTTAAACAATGGAACCTTAGAGCTTTAAAAATTTTAAATAAGATATTCAAAAAAGGAAAAGTTTTAAAATCCGCTTGCATGGAAGTAGCGAACGTATAGTATATATATTTTTATTCATGAATTTTTATAAACGGAATAAACGTCTTTAAAAAAAGTTTTCATATCTTGGAGTATCTGAATTTATTTTCCAATTGAATTTTTCGATGATACAGAAAATACATGGTGTTTTTCATCCTATCATAACAGTTATAGGGAATAAAGTTACGTGCGTGTGTGTTGGTGAGTGAATGTTGACTCATATGATTTTTTTAATATCGGGATCGATGTGCTTTTTGCGAGGGGGTGCCCCGTTTTGTGCGCGGTGTCATTCTGCATGGGATTCTCTCTCTCTCTCTGCATATATTTCCTTTAATCTTTAAGTGTCCGAGTGCTTTATATATTTTATAAATTGAATTAGATTATTTTATATAAAAAGATTAATTTGTATGGATTTAAACAAATATTATTTCCCTACTTATTATGTTACATATATAAACTATTCCTAGATTCTGTCTAGACCCCCCCCTTCTTTTTACAAAATAACTAGATCTGCTCTAGAATAGTCTAAAAATAATAATAATATACGAAATTCCTTATGAATAATTAAAAAGTAGTCGCTTGGAAGAAAAAAATTAAATACTTTCTCAAGTTTTTAATTCTCAAGACGATTGAGGTTATTTAAATAACGTAATTTTAAGAATTTCTGAAAAATGAAGTAGACGCAGGCGACGTCATTACGTTTTCAGTGAATAACGTCAAAGTTGTTTTTGGAGCGCCTCACTAAAATGCTCATTAAATACTGAAAAAGTAAGATATTTTCAAAATTTATGTATATTTGCATTCAGAAAGAGTCCGGCTATCAAAATTCATCAAAAAGTCATTTTATGAAAATTTGACCTTAAGGGCCCTTTTCTCGTGACGGCAGTCATATAAATTTTATGATATATGAATCATATTGTCACATTTCCTTTAATTGTAATAGCAATTTATCGAATACACATTACAAATAATGGAATAGAAATAACAAGTAATCAAATAGGAATCACATTGTATAAAATAAGAATTTTTTAGAATAAGAATAATCTAATTCTCAAGGTTATGGTCCGAAAGCGATCATTTTTCAAGCCGAAACAGGCTACTGACAAATAAGTTAATTGTTACAGGAATTTCAGCAATTTATTTAAAGCCAGCATTACTTACATGCTATGGTCGCTATAATATTGCTCTTTTTCACAATATAACCTATCATTGGAATCATTTTGGTCGATGTGTTTCATTCTAATTTTTAGGCTATTGAATTTGTTATTTTTATACTGAATTTGACTAGATGGGATGTTCCATCTGCCTGTTCAATATATATATATATATTATTATAACAGTAACTTGATCCGAAGGGTCGTATCACGTCGAGTTGACTGGCGCGGATCCTCATATCTAACAAGACGCGAAGCGTCGAGTTTGATCTGATGATCCGCGCCTGTCAACGAGACGAGATACGGCTCTTCGGATCAAGTTACTGTTATAATGATAAATTCATTATATACCCCCTCATAACTAGCAAAATATAGCAAAAGAAAACCTCAGAGATCAATTGCATAACATTTATCCATAAAACAAAGCATAATAACAAGGTACTTTTTAACGCGCAAGAAAAATAACGTCATATTTCTGCGTACTACGTCATCAGTTTCAGAGAGTGGTGATATGGATTCAGAAAACAACATGTTGGTGATCCGGAAAATCGGATCACGACGTCACGTGATAGCGTAAATTCAACAGTAAAATTGGGTGATACACATTAGGTATATAATAAATATAGGGCTCACTCTCTAGACAGCAGATTTTTAAGATTTTTGTTTTATGCCCTATTCGTTGTTCTGTAGTTATTTATGGATGCCATGGATTTTGGAAAGTATTTTCAAAAATAAAGTTGTCATGCTTGAAGATAACTGAAATCGTTCACTGATCAAAATGTACATATATACACGGGGTAATACTGTATGTTTATTTCTATTATTCTTGGAAAGGGAAAAAATTGAAACCAAAATATAAATAGTGATATTGCATGATAAATCCCGTAAAACAACTTCCCAGCTAAAAAAGATGTTCAAACTTCGAGGTGGGGTCAATATTCAACAGGGTCAATTTTCAACTTGTTGACGTCATCAGGTGTAAGAAAAAAACTATCAAGCTGATGAAAATTGACCCCGGGTATAAATTCAACGACTTTTGGTCTCAGTATTCAAAGTTGAAAAATGACCCCGGTTCAATATTCAACGTTGATAAATGACCCCCGGGTAAATTTTCAACTTGGGTCAATATTCAACGTTATAGCGGATAGATATTTAAAAATTCAAATATTTTAATCATTATTCCGACTTTGCACTATCCTTGATTTCAATTTAAAAAAAAAATACTTGTAAAAAAAATTTATTTATAATTATTGGAAAAAAAGTTTGTTAGAGATATCAATATCAAATAAGATAGGAACATTTAAAAGAAATCAAAATAACATAAATCACATGTAAACTATCACTTAGAGTAATACTGTAAATATGTTCGGAGATTCTGTTTATTTCTTTTGATTTTGAAGGCAAAAGACTGATTGCTTATGGCAAAAAAACTCGATTAAATAATTTAAAAATCTATTTTAGATGGCTGTATTCCAACAAAATAACTACGATTCAAAACAACACCTTTAACGGTTTGCAAAATTTACAAGAACTGTAAGTATTTTGTAGTTGCACGAAAACCGAAAGTTAGTGATGAATATCAATAGTAAAAACTGTTAGTGGAGTTCGACCTGCTTGACATGTGCATTCTACTGAACACTATTAGAACCACATTGATGAGCTATATGTTTGATACGTGACTCTATGATCAAAAGCATCTTTAGAGGTTCAAACAAATATTTTTTCAGTGTTATTTACATGCAATACATCATTGCATCCCATGTTCTCTTTTAAATATGACCAATTAAAAAGTCCCGAATTTCTTCCCCTTGCTTTTGATCTGGTCACACTTGACCTATGAACATATGGTGCAAGATGATTTTCTTCTTGGTATGTCATATGTGGCTAGGTCTTGAAATGTTTCAAAAACACAAATGACAAAATATTAATGCAAAATGATTTTTCCCGATCATGAAAAGGGTAACACGGTCGATGCACACTCCTCCATGGCACCTAATCCCATCTCTGATGTTTTAGAGATCCATCTTTATCTGCTCCCGAATTGTATTGTTTGTATGGACTTTGAATATTGTTCGTTACCTTCACATATTTCATTTCTTTAAATCTGAGAGATAAACGTGCTTGCTTAAGTTGATTGCTGTGTTTACATTTATTACTTAAATGTGAGGGATTAATAAAAATACTCATAAAAGGAGTGAAAAAAAATCTTTCCAGATAGATTAACGTCTGCTGAAATCTTATGAATATTGAATGTTTCTTTTTATATTATTATTCAAAAATATGTTTGACATAAACCTTAGAGATACTTAAAACAAACATATGATTTTGGGGAAAATAATCCTTAGAAAGGGTACTACGTATGAGTATAAATTATATTGCCACTTGTAGCCTTAAATCATAGTTCCTCTTAAATGCATTCGTAATAATGAGTTTAACAAACACTTTATTGTTACCAGCTTTAAGACGGGACCCGTATTTACAAAAATTGAATGTTGCTCAGGCTGAAGTATTGGACAAAACAAAGAATCCCTTATATTTGTGTGCATAGATGCAGGCATGTGTATTTTGCATTATTCTGCATACAATGATTGTGTGTATTACACTTAGAATACACAACATATTTTGACGATTTGATTACCTGAAGCAACTGGAATTAAAGAAGTCTTGTTGGTGCAAGGTGCATATTTAATGGAATTTTCTTTTGGTGTCCATTTTCCAGTGTAAAGACGAATATTGACCCGAGTTGAAAATTAAACCGGGGGTCATTTTTTAACGTTGAATATTGAACCAGGGGTGTTTTTTCTCCGTTGAAAATTAAGACCAAAAGTCGTTGAATGTGTAACCGGGGTCATTTTTCAACAGCTTGATAATTTTTTTTCTTATCCCTGATGACCTCAACAAGTTGAAAACTGACCCTGTTGAATGTTGACCTCACCTCAGAGTTTGAACATTATTTGAACTTGGAGGTTGGTTTTACGGGATTTAACATTATTTCTATACTTACTAGTAAATTTCGGTTTCAATTTTTTCCCTTTTCTAGAGTTATTGAAATATACATATCATCCTGTGTATATATGTACATTTAAATCAGTGCACGATTTCATTTATCTTCAAGCATGGCAGGTTATATTTATTTTTTGACAATACTTTCTGAAATCCATGGCATCCATTAATAACTACAAAACTATGAATAGGGCATAAAACAAAAATCCTGGAAATCTGATGTTAAAAGACATCAATCAGCAAAACTTGTCAATGAAATTTATTAGGATCCTACACTCTTCACCAAACTTTAAACCAGGCATTACTTTCTGTTGGAAATATAAGTATTCATTAATATGTATAGAAATAAAGTAAAGAGTGTTCGGCAGTTTTTGTAACAGGTACTTGCCCTAAAGCCTGCCTTGTCAGGGGTCCACCTTGGCAGTGTATTCTTGTGGTAAACATAATTTAAAAATTACATCATAATCGCCTTTGCTTTTGTCTTTGCTATAAGTTTTAATTGGTTCCGAGGTAAATATGTCTTTGCATCTTGTGTCTGTTTTCATTTCGTTCCAGTATTCTAAGATGCGTTTTTAGTCCCATCGACTCTCGGATTAAATTTTGTAACCACCAATTTATTGTGGGGTCTCAATTGGCAATTACTTTTATTTAGGATCTCATGTCTGTCTGTTCCAATTATTCCTGTGATAATAGGATCTATTTCTGTATCAGAGAAGACTCTTTTTGACAAGTGTTTCTTAAAGTCTTGTAGAAAAATACTGAGAGCAGTGTCATTGGTATTCCTCACATGTCTTTCGCATTTACCTTAAACAAAACCTTTGAATACTGCTGGGTTGTGAGAACTTTCTCTGTGTAGATATTGGAAATTGTTTGATGGTTTTATTAAAGATTTGATATCAAGTTTGTTTGATTCTTGAAAATTTTCTTCATTTACATGTATACACTTTTGTGACTTAGAAGTTTACTGAATCAACAGAGATTTCAAAGGTGAATTTTAAGTGCGAATGTCACCGATTGCCAAGTTTAAAGAAATCAAAAATCTCAGTCTCAGAACGATTGAAAATTATGAAACCATCATATCTAAATCAGCCATGAAACAAGATGTCATTAGCAAATTGAAACATCCCAAAAAGGGGAGATCAACCCCCCCCCCCCTTTCCATCTTCTACTTAACAAAATAAATATGTATTGCGGGGTTCGTTCTTGAACTGTTAGATTAACTGCCAAAAAGATCACAAAACCTTTCATTTTGAAAAAAGTCTGTTTCTCAAGTTGGACATTATGAGTTATTTTAAAATGTAGTGCATGGCTAAATAAGCATTAAAACGTGCGTGCATCATACGTCTCACTATTTTCCAAATACTAATACATGTATTACAAATTTTAAGATTGAAATAAATGTAGTGTTGTTAGCAAAAAGCAAATATAGATAAACAAATTTCTGAACTAAATTGTATACTGTGTAACTATGTTTACTAATAGGATTTACATATACTAATGATTTACGTATACTAATGATTTTTTAAAATAAATATTACACGAAATATTGCGATTTTAAACAATTTGTAATTTTAAAATCTAAGATATTTTTGTTAATTTTTTTATTTTAAGAATATAACTGAATTATTGAATTAAGTGTGCATTGATTACATTGGTGTCGGGAGTAAATTAAAAGTTCGGGGTGGGTAATTGAAAATGAAAAAAAATCAAATTTTAAAAATAATTGACCAAAAAAAAATTGTTCAGTAGTCCAAACCCGAAAATCCTATTTCAGGGGTGGGTGGGTGTTGGGTTGTGTAAGGATCCGATTTCTTTTTTTTTTTCTTTATCAAGCACTACCCACTTACTCTTCTTTCTTTAAGTACACTGTCACGTGCCTGTTGAAAGGGGGGGGGCTGAACACCAATTTCACTTTGTTCAATGCCTATATAATTATGTGTATCTTTGCAAAAAAGTGGGGTTGGGACTAAGCATCCCTACCCCCCCCCCCTTCCCGACGCCAATGGATTAAATCACAGTTTTGAAATCCAAGTCATAAATATGTATTTTATGCTGTTGAATTTAGAACCGGTTTCATGATCAAAATTCCACGACCCGGCTCAGTTTTCAACTGACTAGGGTCTAAATTCAACAGCATAGGCCTAAATTTGCAGCCCTTCACCGGCAATGGTGACGTCTCCATATCAGTGAAATATTCTGGAGAGGGACGTTAAACAGTAATCAATCAATCAATCAATCTTTGAGTACACTGTCACGTGCCTGTTGAAAGGGGGGGGCTGAACACCACTTTGTTCATTGCCTATAAAATTATGTGTATCTTTGCAAAAAAGTGGGGTTGGGACTAAGCATCCCTACCCCCCCCCTTCCCGACGCCAATGGATTAAATCACAGTTTTGAAATCCAAGTCATAAATATGTATTTTATGCTGTTGAATTTAGAACCGGTTTCATGATCAAAATTCCACGACCCGGCTCAGTTTTCAACGGACTAGGGTCTAAATTCAACATCTTAGGTCTCAGTATTCAACGTTGAAAAATGACCCTCGGGTCATTTTTCAACCCGGGTCAAAATTCAACGTTACACCGGCTCATCTATAACTCATAAAAATGTGTGAATTTCAAAGCACATGTTGCTAGTTTTGCAATTCGGTCTCCCGAAGTCATATTTAGTAATTGTATACGGTTATTACATTAAAATTTAGGATATTTATAAATTTGATTGATAAAATATAATTTTTGCTTTTGATAGTAACGAAAGATTTTTTTTCAAAATAAAAAAGCTTATTTCAACTAAATTTTAGTTGTGATCACAAGCTCCAAAATGATCAATGTTTACATTTATATATAGCTTTTTATTATAAGGAGTGGGTATTCAAAAGCGTAATTTCAGCGGACGGACGAATACACGGACGGAAGGGACGACACCCCATCACTACATATGCCCCTGCTTTTCTAGCGGTGGTATAAAATCAAGAGACTTGAAAACACATTTCTTCACCCTAGAGGCATAATTTACAAACACTCGGAATTAAAACAATTCCCACAATTCAGTATATATGTGCATGTCTTATATGATGTAATTTTGGAGCGAATTAAATGGATAGTATGATTAAAGGATATATTTATTTAAAATGTAATGTACTACAGAATTTACTGTACTATGGATCTACAGCCCAGTAGCTAAAGTACTTCGGTGCTAGCTAGAAAATACGGATAGATATTTAAGATTCAAAATGGACCAATCATTATTCCGACTTTGCAGCTATGTTTGATTTTAATTAACAAAATAGAAAATGCTTCTGGAAAATTTTGTTATTTATAATTATTGGGAAAAAAGTAAGTTAGAGATATCCATATCAAACAAGATATGAACATTAAAGAAATTAAAATAACATAAATTACAAGTCAACTATCACTCAGACTTATACTTGTAAACATGTTCAGAGATTCTGTTTATTTCTTTTGATTTTGAAGGCAAAAGACTGAATGCGTATAGCAAAAATACTCGATTAAATAATTTTTAAAATCTATTTTA